GAAGTAAACACTGTTTTGACCAAAATATGTTTGTGGCTTTCAGGGAAGTCTTGGGGGAAGGAAAAAAAACAGTTATTTTACAAAGTTGACAGTCTTTTTTGTTACATGTAGTTATTGTAATAACTTTTTTTTTTTTTTTTTTTTTTGAGACAGAGTCTCACCTTGTTGCCCAGGCTGAAGTGCAGTGGTGTGATCTTGGTTCACTGCAACTTCCGCCTCCTAGGTTCAAGAGATTCTCCTGCCTCAGCCTCCCTAGTAGCCGGGACTACAGGCGCATGCCTCCATACCCAGCTAATTTTCGTATTTTTAGTAGAGACGGGGTTTCACCATATTGGCCAGGCTGGTCTCGAACTCCTGACCTCGTGATCCGGCCACCTCAGCCTCCTAAAGTGCTGGGATTACAGGTGTCAGCTACCGCACCCAGCCTTTTTTTTTTTTTTTTTTTTTTTTTTTTTTTTGAGTTGGAGTTTTCACTCTCATTGCCCAGGTTGGAGTGCAATGTTGCAATCTTGGCTTACTGTAACCTCTGCCTCCTGGGTTCAAGTGATTCTCCTGTCTCAGCCTCCCAAGTAGCTGGGATTACAGGCACCCGCTACCACACCCAGCTAATTTTTTGTATTTAGTAGAGACAGGAGTTTCACCGTGTTGGTCAGGCTGGTCTCGAACTCCTGACCTCGGGTGATCCACCCGCCTTGGCCTCTCAAAGTGCTGGGATTACAGGCGTGAGCCACTGCATCCAGCCTAACATTTTTTTAGTTATGTTAATTTACCAATATTCTATGCATTGCCTCCAAAAAAAATTTCAGAATGCTTCTGTGAACTCTTGCCAGTTTGGATTCAGTTTTACCTTCTCTATATCTCATCTGTTGCACCACATCCTAAAATGTATAGCTAGTTTCCTACGATCAGAATGGAAAGAGGTCTCTCTCACACAGTCCTTTGGGTCTCATGGCCAAAGGGATTGATGTGTGATGTTTTCTTGAATCTTGTACTGACCCAGAAATTACCCCATTTTCAAGTCACAAAGGAATTATCAAGTGTGATGGGCCCATGGTCATGTGAAGGTTTATGGCCATGCTTCCACAGAGTGCCAAAGTACAGAAAGTTTTTTCGAAATAAATAAAAACAGCCGCACAATCTCGTCCCTTTCATTTTTATACGTTGTTAACCATCATGTATGACTCTCTTCACTGCTTGGTGAATAAAGGGGGAACTGTACTCTTATTCTCCAGGGATTTATAAACTCATAGGTGGCACCTGTATCCTAGAAGGTAAAACTCAAACAGCCAGCCATTTGGCAGCCGTCCGTGGAGCAGGCCAGCAGGAAGATAAACAATTGCTAGTAGACCTGGGACTGTGGGAAGCAAGGAAACTGCGCTTTGCTTTGGCAACCTTTTTATGGAAGACCGGGAGAGCTAAAAGCTCCCTAATGAGTTTAAAGTTTAGCATTATAGGAAAAGAAAAAAAAAAAAAATCTGAAAAATCATTGTTAATCTGAAAAAGGGTGTGTTAGGATTCTTTTAATTGAAAAACAGTCAAACTGGTATGAGCATTAGAGGGTCTTTATTGGCTTTTGTGTCCAGAAAGTCGAGTGGGTAGAGTACACCTGGGTCCAGGAGCTGAAAAGATGCCACCGGGTCTCTTCCTCTTCTCCCTCCCTCTCAGGTGGGCTCTCCTCTGTGTTGGTGTCATTCTTGGGTGGGCTTTTTCCATATGGTGGCCACTGACAGCTCCAGGTTAGTCATTCCCCATTCCTGAACCAATCATGGTGGTGGGGATGGAATGGAAGATCCTAACTGGCCAGCCTGGGATACAAGTTGACACCTGGAGGGGGAGAAAGTGGGTATAGTTAGCCCACTCAAACCACACAGACCAAGAGTAAGAAAGGGATATTTCTCCAAAAGAACACCATAGTGGTGTTACCAGAAGAGAGAGTGGATGCTATGTGTAATCACACGTCTGCCCACTACAGAGAGGAAGTCCAGAGCTCATTTGGCCAGGATAGTATGTTCACAGAAGTAAATGACTGTTCTGTGCTAAAGACTAATGAGAGAAAATAGGAATAAACAACAGTAGGAGGGACTTTAGTAATAGGTTTCAGAAAAGCTAGAAATAGGTCAAAGTTGTATAAAGCAAATCCCATTTTTCTACTGTTTTCCATTGCAAAGTCATAGGGAAACACCCACCAGATTTTCTGAGTTGATAACTCATTTTAGAAAGTAGTTATGGGCCGGGCGCAGTGGCTCACGCCTGTAATCCCAGCACTTTGGGAGACCGAGGAGGGCGGATCACCTCAGGAGTTCGAGACCAGCCTGGCCAACATGGTGAAACCCTGTGTCTACTAAAAATATAAAAATTAGCCAGGCTTGGTGGCAGGCAACTGTAATCCCAGCTACTCGGAGGCCGAGGCAGGAGGATTGTGGACCTGGCTAATTTTTTAAAAAATATTTTTATAGGGATGGGGTCTCCCTGTGTTGCCCAGACTGGCCTCAAACTCCTTGCCTCACGTGATCCTCCCACCTCAGCCTCCCAAAGTGCTGGGATTACAGGTGTGAGCCACTGCACCTAGCCCCCTCTTCTTTCTCCTAGCCCCCTCTTCTTTCTCTTACCCTTAAGCCTCAGACATTTTTTTTTTTTTTTTTTTTTTTTTTTTTGGAGATGGAGTTTCGCTATTGTTGCCTAGACTGGAGTGCAGTGGTGCGATCTCGGCTCACTGCAGCCTCCTCCTCCCAGGTTCAAGTGATTCTCCTGCTTCAGCCTCCTGAGTAACTGGGGTTACAGACACCCACTACCACGCCCAGCTAACTGTTTGTATTTTTAGTAGAGATGGGGTTTCACCATGTTGGCCAGACTGATCTTGAACTCCTGACCTCAAGTGATCTGCCCGCCTCGGCCTCCCAAAGTGTTGGGATTACACGCGTGAGCCACCGCGCCCAGCCGACGCAGATTTTTTTTTTTTCTATGCTACAGTATTCCATAACTCCATGTTGAACCCCCAAGGACTTCACATTTTACATAATAGAGTGAACTACTACTACAGTGTCACATTTTGGCGACAGTGTTGTGCCACGACCTGAATCTCTCTTAAGAGCAGAGCTTCTGCTTGTGTAAATTGGACTCTGGATTGGAAGTGTGGCTTAGGACCACATGCAGAGGTGTTGGCTTAGGACCACATGGAGAGACTTCCCAGGCTCTTTGGAAGCAAGGAAAGGTGGGAGTGGGGAGGGCAGAAAGGAGGATGGGCAGACAGGTGCAGCCCTCAGCAGGTGCTCCGCCTTCACAGCTCAGCAGATGCGGCGGATAAGAAGCCCAGTGAAGAGTGTGGATGTGATTTAGAAGAGAATGGAATCACAACCTGTAACATAAAAAGCTGCACGTAGACTTTGCCTGCAAGGCTGTCAGTTTAAACATGAGAATGGTAAACTTAGATGAAAAATAAGTATAGATTTCTCAAGCATTTATATTACTTCTTCCCCATCCTCTCTTTCTTAATTCCTGAAATTTATATCAGGACTGTATTTTTGAACCCTTTTTACTCATCCATCCATTCCTCCATTCATTCATTTAGTAAGTAGTTACTGAGCACCCGACACATGCTAGGACTCTTCTAGGCATTGGGGATACAGCAGGGAACAAAAGAAAATCCTTGACTTTATTATAGAGTTCACATTCCAAGGAGGAGAGCAGACAATAAGGAAATACACAACCTGTCAGGTGATATTAAGTGCTAAGACAAATGAAGCAGATTGAGAGGGGTAAAGAGTGGTAGGGGAAGGAGGCTGCCGTTTTAGATGTGACAAATGTGATCTGTGAGCAGAGACATGATAGGGTTTGGGAGCAAGCTGTGAGGCCACCAGGAGGAGCAGCCGATGCAGAGGGGAAGTGAGACCAACTGCTCCAGGCCAGGATCACTTGGTCTACTGGAGAATAGCAAGGAGGCCAGGAAGCAAGGGAGAGTGTTAAAAGATGAGATCAGAGAGAGAACAAAGGAAGGCGGTGGGTGGGGACTGCTCATATTCAGGGGAGAAGGGATACCACTGAGGGGTCTGGGCAGAAGAATGAAGGGGCCAGACTTATGATTCAAACCAAATAGCTCCAGCTGCAATGGATGAAAAGAGTAGAAGCAGGGAGACCAATGAGGAGATTACTGGAAAAACCCAAAGCAGAGTTGATGGGCCAGGGTGTTTGAGGTAGAAGTGGATTCTCATCCTGGAACCCCTATTTCTACCTATTCCTTCTTTACCTTTTTTCTTTTTCCTCACTGTTCTTTACAGTGTGTAACCTTTTTCCTGTTCTCTGCTAAATACTAATGAGAGAAAATAGGAATAAACAACAGTATAGACACGAATCATATAATTTGTAGTTACATAGTTTTGAGGCCGACCAGAGGTTTTGTTCTGGATCTGTCTGGTCACCTCTCACCTCCCTGCCACCCCTATAAAGCTTGCTGAGTATGGGGCTGGGCTCAGATTATGATAACACTGTTCCAGGCTACACATTTAGAAGGCGCTGCTGTGGATGGGAGAGAGGATCAGCAAGTCCTACGAAGGGGGACTCAGGGTCAGGGTCTTCCCTATTTCTGTTGATTAGGAAACTCAGCCATGAGCTTAGATCTAATATTGATCATGTCTAGGATTCTCTGAAAATGTTTCCTTGTAGAAATTGCTCCCATCACTGGCTATTCTACAGAGGAAAATCATGCAGGAATGGAGAACTGCAGCAAAGGCAGGAGGCACTGCCTAGATCTTAGAACATCAGTGCTGGGGGTGACCTTAGAGATCATATCAGACTGGGACTAGAGAAATGCAGGAGTCTCAACTACCAGGCTCATCTTCATTCCATTCACTATGCTGACTTTCCAAACAACAGGCAGCCCTTGCTGGAAGAGCTGTAGAGATGGTTTTCAGCATCTCTGTGTTCATCCCATCACAGAGTGACTGGTTTATTTGCCTTTCGATCCTAAACAGTAATGCATCCTTTCTTTTTGTTTTCAACCCTAGGGGTTGCCCTGCTCTCAGATGTCTATCCTGAGAAAATCTTGCCAGACCTGTTGGCTCAATATGACAGCAGCAAAGACAAGCACACACCAGAGACCAGAATGAAAGTCGGGGAAGTCCTGATGCGAATCGTCAGGGCATTAGGTGAGTTTTCTTGTTCCATCCACCTGGAAAAGGATGGAAGATCAGTGTCTTTGAAACCAAAGTGTGTGTACCTGGGGGCTTGTTATACTAGCATGGTGAGGGTAGTTTGAGGGCTGGGATGAACTAGTACCCATTTAGGAATTTAGGAAATACTCAGATCCCTACTATGAGACTGAACGCAACAATGTCCTTTTTCTTAAAACTGTTTAGTCTCTGGCCAGGTGTGGTGGCTCATGCCTGTAATCCCAGCACTCTGGGAGGCCGAGGCAGGTGGATCATCTGAGGTCAGGAGTTCAAGACCAGCCTGGTCCACGTGGTGAAACCCCGTCTCTACTAAAAATACAAAAAATAGCTGGGCATAGTGGTGCACGCCTGTAATCCCAGCTACTCGGGAGGCTGAGGCAGAAGAATCGCTTGAAGCTGGAAGGCAGAGGTTGTCGTTGAGTTGAGATTGCGCCACTGCACTCCAGCCTGGGCAACAAAATGAGATTCCGTCTCAAAAATAACAACAACAAAAAAACTGCTTAGTCTCCTTCCCCGGAAGCTGTGTTGGACCCTGATTTTCAGTGGAGCTGGAATGAGAAGTCTCACACTTAAGCAAAAAGAAGAGGAATGTCGACTGGGCACCGTGGCTCACGCCTGTAATCTCAGCACTTTGGGAGGATCGCTTTAGGCTTGGCAGGAGTTCAAGACCAGCCTGGGTAACATGGCAAAACCCTGTCTCTACCAAAAATTAGCCAAGCATGGTGGCACACACCTGTAGTCCCAGCTACTCAGGAGGCTGAGGTGGGAGGATCACCTGAGCCTGGGAAGTCGAGGCTGCAGTGAGCAATGATTGTACCACTGCACTCCAGCCTGGGCAGCAGAGCGAGACTCAGAATAAAGAAGAGAAATGTCAAGCAGGGAAGGAAGAGTGCTGACTCTTGCTGAATGTCTGCTGTATGCCAGGTTGTCCATATATATAATCTCATCTAATTTCCCAACAAATCTTGTAAAGAGGCTGTTACTAAACCCATTTTACAGATTAAGAAACTGTAGCTCAAACATATTCAGCAATTTGTCCAAGACTCATTCAGCTGGTAAGTGATAGTGCTGAGAATTGAACCACCAACTTGAAGGAAGTTGCTCTAGGCTGTATAAACTGAGAATAGTAGTTAAGGGATAGGCTCTAGACTTACACTGCCTCACTTCAAATCCTGAACTGCCGCTGCTTTTTTTTTTTTTTTTTTTCCTCAGTAGAAGTGGGGTATCACTGCGTTTTCAGGCTAGTCTCAAACTCGTGAACTCAAGCAATCCTCCTGCCTCAGCCTCCCAAAGTGTTGGGATTACAGGCATGAGCCATGGTGCCCAGCCCTCTATTTCACCTCTATTAGAACCTTTGTATATATGCCTCTTAGCCTTTATCCTTCTACTTCAGCCTCTTGAATAGCTGGGACTAGAGGTACATGCCACTACGCCTGGCTAATTTTTGTATTTTTGTAGAGACGGGGTTTTACTATGTTGCCCAGGCTGGTCTTGAACTCCTGGCCTCAAGCAGTCTTCCCACCTGGGCTTCACAAAGTGCTGGGATTACAGGCATGAGCCACTGCACCCAGCCAGAATTCGGTTATTAATAACACTTAACTCATAGGGCTGCTGTAAAGATTAAATAAGGTAATTCTTACAGTGGTATTTGGCATACAATAAGGGCTCAGTAAAATTTTATTTTTGCCTATGCAAAAATGATGTAAACATTTTTTAAAGATTAAAAATGAAGGAAAACAAATACTTTTTGCTGTTTATTGAGTGTTCATATGAAGCTAGGAGGTGGGACCCTAGGGAACAAGGACAAAGAAAACAATAGTTCATTCGAAGAGAGAGGTTAAATTAAGATGAATTTCTCCATAAGCCAGCAAGTACACTTTGGATTTTTTTATACTGGGCTATATAACATAGAATTGAGAAAAGATTCATTTCTTTAACCTGTGCTCCACAGACTTAACCATTAGCTGTCACACTGAATATCACTAGAAGCCTTAAAATAAGGCAAATCAATCATACAGGTGAGAGCCAGTGGTGTACAGTGTCCATTTGAGCCAGCTAGCTGCCATATTGAATTTTGAGAATGAGGTTCCGTTTTAGGGCTGTGTTCTTGTCATGCATGGCCTATATCAAATTGTGTTATAAAGTATAGCTGTTGGTGGTTAATATTTGGCTTAATAACAGTGCCACACTTCTTTTATTCTTTAAATTATATCAGCACTTCTCAAGTACTGCTGTATTTGTCCTTGACTTTTTAGTAATTCCATTATATATTCACTAGTCTGTTATCTAAGGCAGAAAAAGAAGATACAATCTCAACTTCAGCTTGGCCAATTTGTCTGTGAGCTCTAGTAAAACTTGTAAATTTACTCTTTATCCGGTAGAGGAAGATTTTGGAGAACAAAGTGGAGGTGGGGTAGCTTTTTGCCACTTGCATCAGGAGATCACACTGAATTCCTCGTTCATCAGCATGTCAAAGGATTTATAGAAATTCCATATAGCCATGTACTGTTTTGATGGACATAGCCCTTAATTTTCCCAATTTCTAGGTGACTCTTCTGGCTAAGGATGATAGAACCTAGGTCTCCAACCACTTAAATTCTTTTATCAGTGAAAGGAGAATTACTTGAGAGTGAAATTTATTTTATTTTTTTTCTGACCAATGGATTCATGTCACAGAGAGTGAAATTTGTTTATTTGTTTATCTATTTTTATTTTTATTTTTTGAGATGGAGTCTTAGCTGGGTGCGGTGGCTCATGCCTGTAATCCCAGCACTTTGGGAGGCCAAGGCAGGCAGATCACGAGGTCAAGAGAGCGAGACCATCCTGGCCAACAGGATGAAACCCCAACTCTACTAAAATACAAAACTTGGCCGGGCGCGGTGGCTCACGCCTGTAATCCCAGCACTTTGGGAGGCCAAGGCGGGCAGATCAAGAGGTCAAGAGATCGAGACCATCCTGGCTAACATGGTGAAACCCCGTCTCTACTAAAAATACAAAAAATTAGCCAGGCGTGGTGGCGGGCGCCTGTAGTCCCAGCTACTGGGAGGCTGAGGCAGGAGAATGGCGTGAACCCGGGAGGCGGAGCTTGCAGTGAGCCAAGATGGCGCCACCGCACTCCAGCCTGGGAGACAAAGTGAGACTCCTTCTCAAATAAATAAATAAATAAATATAAAAATACAAAACTTAGCTGGGCACGGTGGCATGTGCCTGTAGTCCCAGCTACTCAGGAGGCTGAGGCAGGAGAATCTCTTGAACCTGGGAAGCGGAGGTTGTAGTGAGCCGGGATTTCACCACCGCAACTCCAGCCTGGCAACAGAGCCCAACTCCGTCTCAAAAAAAAAAAAAAGATGTCTGTCACCCAGACTGGAGTACAGTGGCAGCATCTTGGCTCACTGCAACTCCGCCTCCTGGGTTCAACTGATTCTCCTGCCTCAGCCTCCCGAGTAACTGGGACCACAGGCCCGCACCACCATGCCTGGCTAATTTTTGTATTTTTAGTAGAGACAGGGTTTCACCATGTTGGACAGGTTGGTCTCGAACTCCTGACCTCAGGTGATCCGCCCGCCTTGGCCTCCCAAAGTTCTGGGATTACAGGCATGAGCCACCGCACCCAGCTAAGAGTGAAATTTAAAAATACTTTTTTTCTAAGAAGAAAGATGAACTTTCTATATTTGCCTTAGTTCTGAATTTGAATCTAAAACATGCCAGACAAGTACACCATTATAAGAAATCATTCTCTCACAGTAGGTGTGAAGGGTGCACCACTGGGATTATCAGAGCTGAGAAGAATATAAACCATACACAGACAACATCAACATGTATTTTCTCTGGTAGACCTCTACCTTTGGGATGATAAACACTAAAAGTACATATTTCAGAGTCCCCATTGGCCAGTCCAAATGATTTCCTGGGGTGAGAGTGGAGGTGGGGATGAAGGGCTGGATACAGTTGAGGTGAGGCCTCACTCCTCCTTACATACTCTTATAATTAGCCCAATTTCCAAAACAGCCTTCTGGCATTTCAAAGCAAATTCCACTGATTCTCAAAGTTCCCTTCTTTGTGTAGCCTACTCTTCAGAGTGTCCAATTGTAAACACAGCCTTAGCTTTAACTGCTAGTTTCTGTTTCACATCATCAACTTGTCCTGGTACATAGATGAAGTGGTGTGTTGAAATCCTTTGAGTAACATTAAAGCCCATTTTGACAACATAGCCAATATTCTTAGTTTTCTAGTGTTGTGGAAATGCTGTGAACAGCCGCTTGGTAAGGCTTTTCTAATAAGTCCCCTAGTTCCATCAGCCTAGGCCTTGCTGTCTCCCCACCTCTACCTCTTCTCTGCAGTGGTGGGAGTTGGTGGGAGAATGCGGCCCACCCGTGGGAGCAGGGTGCAGTATACTATGTTACCTCTCTCATCATGCTAGTTCCCTAGCCACATCTACTTGTCTTCCTGCCACTAGATCATGGTGCAAAATCAGCAGGAGCTTTTTTTCTTTCCATTAAAAAAAATTGAGGTAGTATATATATACAGTAAAGTACATAACATATATGATTTTATTTTATTTTATTTTTTGAGGCAGGGTATCGTTCTGTTCCCCAGGCTGGAATGCAGTGGTGCGATGATGGCTCACTGCTTCCTTGACCTGTCAGTCTGATCCACCTTCCTCAGCTTCCCGAGTAGCAAGGACCACAGGTGTGCGCCACCATACCCGGCTATTTATTAAATTTTTTACGGAGATGGGGTCTTGCTGTGTTTCCCAGGCTGATCCCAACCTCCTGGGCTCAAGTGATCCTCCCACCTCCACTTCCCAGTGTGCTGAGATTACGGTGTAAGCCACAGCACCCAGCCTGAAGTATATGAATTTTTTTTTTTTTTTCCTTGAGATGGAGTCTTGCTCTGTCGTCCAGGCTGGAGTGCAGTGGTGTGATCTTGGCTCACTGCAACCTCCACTTCCCAAGTTCAAGGGATTCTCCAGCCTC